AAATAATGTCGGATATCGATAGAAAAACTAATTATAAGCAAAACATGTTTTATAAAGTTTTTCAAAAAACCTATACTTTGCAAGTTACTGGCTACTAAAAATACATATATTTTTGGCGCTTTTTTTTTTTTTTTTTATGCAAATATCTCCAAAAATATACATTTGAACGAAAATCATGTAATGAACAAAATAATGCCTATAAAAATCTTAATAGATCAGTGTTTTATAAAGTGTTCTAGGAACAATATTAAGTTAGATTTGAAAGAGCAAAGTCGATCATAATTTCCTTTACCCTTACAGGTGTGGATATAAGAGACGTCGAATTCCGTATGAGCAACGACTCCAGCAAACTGGCCAATCTGATGCACTCGTCAACGGCTTGCAGCTACAAAGATTTAACAATGTTCAAACTAATTTTATGCAGTGGTTTATACCCTCAAGTAGCCATTGCCGATGAATTCAATTACTGCAAATCACCGATGGAACAACTTTTTCACACCCGATCCAAACCTTATGCATCTTTACACCCGATGAGCTTTTTCGGATGCCATCCTCAAATTTTGCAATTGGAGGAACGCGAAATTTTGCAATCGACTGAATTCGGTTGTTACAAATCTAGATTGCCTATAAGTTCCAGACATCAATTATTATGTTATCTGACTTATTAGAGACTACTAAGCCGTATTTAACGAATACAATGAGGATGCCGGCTGCCCAAACTCTGCTGCTTTTTGCGCATAGTATCGATACGAATTCGACTTTTTCGAGGCTGGTTTGCGATTCCTGGTTGCAGTTGGATTTTCCAGGAATCGGTAATGGACAGACTTTGCTTTTGAGGGCTGTTAAATTGAGGAAACAGTGGGAGACTTTGTTGAATAAGAGGCTGAAGAATACGGTTACGACTAGTGTCGAAGGCGAGCTGGAGAAGGCTAAGGACAAGGATTTTAATTATGATAGGTTGGAGTGGGAACTTACACAAGGATTGGTTGCTTATATGAATACAGAGGTGAGATGATACTTTAGATATTTATATTTATATTAGACATAATTTAAAAAAAAACAAATGTTCACTCAAAATCTTATTCTAATTTTCGCAGAATAATTTACTGAAAGTTATAACTCAAATACTCATTTATAGAGTAAAAAAACTTGCTCTTTAAAAAATTTGTTGAGTAATTTATTAGGTTGTCAAATATCTCCCTTCCGCTTTTTTGCTATTGGTTTATGATACAAAAAGGCGGAAGGGAGATATTTGACAACCTAATATAAAATTTCCTATTTCCAACTTAGAATTAGAAGAAAAATGTATGGAACGGGTAGAATCTTGTGCTCATGGAAAATATAACTCTGATTGCTTTTTTCTGTAATTGCTGATGGTTAGTAACGGTGAAAACCCTTGAAATTGAATGCCGTAAATTACATTTGAATAAAAATATGAGTAATAAATTGTAAATAGGCTCTCTTTGCTTACTTTCATTTTTAAATTACGAAGCATATTTGTGCTCTAGTTTAGTTTTAGATTTAGTGCTCCAGTCAATGGAGCGTTTTGAGTATGAATTTTTTTTACTGTGCTCCAATTTGCTTGAAATTTTGGAATTAGGTTCATCTTACTCTCAAGTATGACACGCCTTCTCAGTGGTGTAATTTTATTTTTGTCAAAATAACGTCGGATATCGATAGAAGAACTAACTAGTGGTGTATGGCATCGTGCCTAAGGCAAATTGCTGGAACTTCCCGTACCGTAATGAAATATTCGAGAAATTTTAAACGTGGTATTACAAATACTGTTACTTTCATTATTTTTGCTATCTTGCTTGTTATGATCTGAGCAAATCGAATTTAAATCATAAATCAATTTATCTCCAGAACATTAACAATCGTCATTTCATTTCGAATTCAATTTAAAAAAAAATAGTTGCCTAATTTGCACAAAATTGAAAAAGTGCTCCCATATAGTCATAGTCTAAACGCATTTGCAAACAATTCTGTGCGACATTTTCACTTATACTGTGCTTAGCTTGGCGGCATTTTCACATTTTTCAATAGTTTTCACAAAATTCGAATTCGAAAAGTGTTCCAGTACATATACAGTCTGAACGCACTTGGGTAAACATTTGCACCAGAGTGGCGCTAAGACCGTGCTTAGCCTGGGTGATTTTTTGAATTTTTGTATTTAGTATTTTTCATCATCGAATTTTACCAGACATGAAAATAAAAAGGACTCTACTGACAGGCAAACTATATTTTGCATTATATGAACTGACGAGCAAACTGAAATACTCGTCTGCTCGTCAGCAAGGTCTCCTTTTATATATTTTAGCTTTTGCTCGTTAGTAGAGTCCTTTTATTAATTCTAGATTGGTTTGCTCGTTTTTTAATTCTAGATTAAGTTTCTCGTCAGTAGAGTTCCTTTTTTGTATATTTTAACTTTTGCTCGTCAGTAGAATCCTTTTATTAATTTTCTATCCTTTGCTCGTCAGTAGAGCCCCCTTTTGTCTCTTATAGATTTTGCTTGTCAGTAGAGTCCTTTTATTAATTTTCTATACTTTTGCTCGTCAGTATAGTCTTTTTAATAATTTCCTAGCTTTTGCTCTGAGAAGAAAAAGGACTCTACTGTCGATCAAACTGAAATAAAAAATATTAAAAAAGACAAAAGGGACTCTACTGACAAGCAAATTAAAAAACTAAATTTAATATGACTGTGCTTAGCCTGGGTAATTTTTTGAATTTTTAATAGATATTTGTTTAATAGTAAAAATACCGGTAATTTACCGAAATACCGGTATTGAAATTTTTCATCGGTATTGCATTCCCTATTCATCATCATAAGTATATTATATTTTAATATTGTCTAGGCTCATAAGTGAATAGAAATGTTTGGCAAATGACAGTATTCATTTGTTTTAATGTCAAACCATGCCTTAAATATTTTCAAGGTCAAACGATGATAAGCGGTTTTTTTGTAATTTTTTCCATTTATTTCTACAATCTAACTATATTCCTATGAATCTAAAATATCTAGAAAATTTCCCGAACAAACTTCAGGAAGATTTATCAAAATCCGAATAATCGTTTAGGAGGAGTATCTTCACCTACATTATTACAGAAGAATTTTGTATATAAGATAGTAACCACGAATAATACAAATTACTTCAATGAACTTAAGTTTCTTACACGGCACAGATATTTTATTAGACGATTGCGACATGCAAATGGACAATTTGAAATGTTTGGCCAAATTATAAATGTGCCTGTTGACGTTGATAATATGGTTAATTTATTACCTCGTAATATTGATGATAATCATTGAATTAACGTTCATATAAAAAAGAAAATGATTCGTAGATCAAGCTATGTGCAGGGTTTGATAAATAAGACAAATATAAAAGTATGGCTTCAATTTTGTAGGCAAGACAGATATTACAGCTGTTCAAGGAATGAGATTATATCGTTTTAATTTTAATTACATGAAGTTCTTCAAACACAATTGTTACAGGATGAGTTAATTTGCAAAAACAATATTTGTTTAGGCGTTGTTTAACATAATCCACTGTGTGAACGAATATTATAGAACTTATTAATCAGCAATTACTTTAAAACGATCATGTCATATTTCAAGTACAACTTTGATTACATTATTGTTTTTGAATATTATACATATTTTTAATGCAATCATAAATATATAATTTATTATTTATCATTATATAAATGTGTATAATGATTGACGACACTAATAAATGTGTGCATCACGAGTGTTACCATATTACTAATAAACATTACTAATAAACAAAATCAAAATTTTTATATGATGTATTTATTTTTACTTAAATGCCATCTTATACAGTAGCAAATAAGTTTTACTTCAATCGCGTGTGATCCTTACGCGCACTCTTTTTTATTTTTACTGTAATTATTTACTGGTGACGGGATAAAATATTCTTTCGATCCTGACAAGATTTCTATTAATTTTTTTTTTTTTTTTAATTCTAGGTCCCCTACACAATCAAGCGTCTCCTCCACATAGACAGCAAAACAATGTACAACCACCGACTTTTCGAAGATTTCCATTTGCTCCAACCAAATCCCTTCGACGAAGATTTCAAATCTTCCCCAAACGACTACAAAGGAGGTATCGATATTACCCCAAATGTAACTTACGATTGCCTCGAAGAATGTGACTGGTCCCTTATAATGGCAAACCAGATTTTGGAACAAGATTGGCGGTGCCCGACTTGTGATTTAGAATGTCCCATGACCGGGTTACAAAAATTGCACCACCAGCAAATTTGTGGCAAGAAAGATGAGCCAGAGGAGGATAAAAATAGTGACCACCAGGCTGTGGTGAAAGCTGGTGATAAGAAATTTGATTGTGAGAGTTGTAAGAAGACTTTGTACTTTAAAAGCAACGTGGAGATTTTGAGACATAAGAAAGCCTGTGGGGTGAAAATTTAATTAAATTTTATAAGTGAGTAAGAAGATATATGCAGCAGCAGAGATGAGAAATGTGTATTTTTATATTTGTAATATATACGTGATGAAGTAAGAACTGCATTTTTTACAACAACTTACTATAATTTACCAGTAGAAGTAAAATGAAGTTTTTGGCATTAGAGACAGCTTGAAATGAAGACTTACATTCCAGGTAAAAAAGAGAATAAATGCTAAATTTAAAAGTCTTTTCTCAAATCAAAATCAAAATTTGATTTTATTGGCAATTTTGATAATTTGAAAATATTGGAAAATTTTAATAGATACGAATTTTTGAAAAAAATCGAAATGATCTAAAATTTTTTGAGAATTTGGAAATTTTTAAAATCATTCGATTTTTTTGAAAATTTCGAAATGATCTAAAATTTTTGTAAGAAACCGATTTTTTTTTTAATTTTGGTAACTTTTTTTACTTTTGTTACTATTATATACTTTTGGTATCTTTTTTATTTTTTGAAAATCAAGAAAAATTTCGAAATTTTGAATTTTTTATGAATGTTTATTTAACAATTGTGGATTTTTATTTGAGAATTTTTAAAATCATGAAATTTTATGCAAAAATATTTTTTCACACCAAGAAAAACTTTTATAAGTTCGAATTTTTGAAAGAATCGATTTTTTGATGAAGATTTTTTGAGAACGTGGAAATTTTTGAAATCATTCGATTTTTTTTGAAAATTCCAAAGTAATCTAAATTGTTTGTAAGAAACCGATTTTTTAAAAAAAAATTGATAATTTTTATAAATATGACAAGATTTTCACTTTTTTTGAAAATTCGGGGGCATTAATCACGTGAGGATTTTAGGGAAGGGGGAGGGTATTGACAAAAAATCACGTGTATTTATTTTCTACATCAATTTTTTTAAAAAAAACTTAACATTTTTAAAAAAAAAATTTTACAATTTTTTCTCGTAACAAAAATACTCGTGATGTTTGTAGGGGCAAGGGGGGGGGGGAATATTTTTGAATATCACCAAGGGAAAGGGGGGGGGTCCAAAAATTCTTAAAAAGTCGATAACGTAATTAATGGACGCACTCCCTTGAGAAAAATTTCGAAATTTTGGATTTTTTTTTTTAATTTAGAATTTTTTTTAAATTTTGAATTAGTTGACATTTTTTAAAATTACAAAATTTCATGTAAAAGCATTTTTTGCACACCGTCTACACACGCAAAATGATGTTTGAATTAATCCAATCGGATGATCCGTTCTCTCAAAAACTGCATTACCATTTTTACGCCTTTTGCGCTCGATGCCTCCGAAACGGCAGACGTGCCTTTTAATTTAATTCAACTTATAAACTTTGAACTCTAAAATAAAAACTTATTTTTATTGAATCTCCAAAATTTCTAGACTTGCCTTTCCAAAAATTTAAACAGTTCTTCGTTTAGTCAAAAAAGTAATTAATTAAATTCAAATCGGACGCTCCATTTTCTCAAAAACTGAATTATCATTTTTGTTTTTTTTGTCCCGTTACTTCGAAACGGCTAGACCTGCCTCTGTCAAAAACTAATCAGCACGTCTCCTTATCAATACGAATCGAATGTTTTTTGAATTATTCAAATTGCTTCATCCGTGTTCCCGAAATCGTCGACGAAAATTTGTATCCGCACACATAAGAGAAAGGGTGAATAGGACTTTGCTCATTTAGAAGTATAAAATCAGTGTAAGAATGATAGCATTCTAGATCCTTCTCCCACGAAGTAATGCCTAACGGCGGTTTCCGCGGGAACCAGAGGCAAGGGCAAGGGCAAGGTTTTTAGTGGGTATTATACCTAGGCGGTATTGAGTCCGACATACCCAGACACAAGACCTAGTCTGGGATGCATAAAAAACACATATATCAATTTTTTCGAAAATGTTCAGAAACCTCTAAAACGTAAAGATATATAGTAATTTTAATTTTTGATTTTTTACGAATAAAACAAAATGTACTCACCAAATGTTATTATAAAAATACAAAATAATATTCTAAAACAATGTTAAAAAAAATATAATAAAAACATCCTGTTACTAAAAATTTTATCCTTGTATCAGAAGGCATTTCGGGACCAACTTTTTTTTTATTTCTATCAGCTTTCTACTGTCCATTATACCACAATCGCAGAAAATTCCAGTCTGGTACTTTCAGAAGGACAGCAAGGCCGTAGGAGAGTATATCAAACAATTTGTTGGAAATTGTGCAAAGGGTTGTGCGCCAATTTTCTTCTTCTTTCATCCAGAAATTGAGGATACTCCTGAGCCAATCTGATAATAATTGATAATTGGTAAGTAAATTATTATTATTATTATTATTATTATTATTATTATTATTATTATTATTATTATTATTATTATTATTATTATTATTACTAGCAAACCCGACGAACTCCGTTTCGCCACCAGATGGTTTCGTGAGAAAGATGAAGAAATTTTTTGTTTGTTTTATATTTGAAAAGGAAAAATTTGATTTTATTACACAACAGTAATGAATTTATTTCGATTACAAGAATGAAATGTTTTTTAGTTGAACTTCTCTAAGTAAATGAAAGTGAATCCGCAAATTATCCGTTTCATTGAAGTGCTCTTTGGTAAACCACATTTTTTGTTTTTTGGTCTGACGTTAACACAAACAAAGCGGATGGTTTTCCAACTCGTGAACAGGCAACGTATAACTGGCCATGTGAAAAACAATGATTTTCTAAATAATCTATTTGAAATTTATCCCGCAAACACTAAGCGATTGGCCTTGCGATTTATTATTGCGAACTGGAAATTGCAATCGTTTGAAGTCAAACGAAAGACCAGTCGGAATCATTGGTATGTCACCAAATCGCCGGCAATTTTTTATTGAATGGTGAAATTCAATGCGTGTACATCATTATTGAATTGATTTTTCTAGTTAGCTAAGGTGATTGCTATTTTAATTTATATTTGCTCGTCATTAGAGTTCCTTTCAATTTTTATAACATTTTGAAAGTCAGTAGTTTCCTTTTTCTTAAATGTGCTCGTCAGTAAAGTTCTTTTTCTTCTTATATTTTAGTTTGAGTGTCAGTAGAGTCTCTTCTGATTCTATATTTTGCTCGTCAGTAGAGTCCCTTTTTTCCTCCCACAAAAATATTTTACTAGTGAGCTGATAAGTCATTGCTCTTTTTTTTTGAATTTGCTCGTCAGTAGAGTTCCTTTCAATTTTCATAATATTTTGATAGTCACAATTTTTTTTCCTTTACTTTAAATTTGCTCGTCAGTAGAGTTCTTTTTCTTCTTATATTTTAGTTTGAGTGTCAGTAGAGTCTCTTCTGATTCTATCTTGCTCGTCAGTAGAGTCCATTTTTTATTCCATTTGAATTTGTGCTTCAGTAATGTTCCAACAAGTTTAAAGTTTTAAGAGTTTATTTCTTTTTAGTTTGTTCGTTAATAGAGTCCCTTTTGTCCTCTCCAAAAAACACCCGTAGAGTCCCTTTTAATTCTATTTTGCTCGTTCGTAGAGTCCCTTTTGGGTTTTTCAAGCTCGCCAAAAGACGATTTTTAGACGATTTAAAATTGTATAAATAATATTTTTGTAATTTTGGATTAAAAATTGAAAAAATGACCCAGGCTAAGCACAGTCTAAGCGCCACTCTGGTACAAATGTTTACCCGAGTGCGTTTAGACTGTTGATGTATTGGAGCACTTTTGCAGTTTTGTGAAAACGAAAACTATTAAAAAATGTGAAAATGCCGCTAAGCTAAGCACAGTATAAGTGAAAATGACGCACAGAATTATTTGCAAATGCATTTAGACTGTGACTATATTTTTTACTTTTTTTAGCACTTTTTTAATTTTGTGCAAATTTTAGGCAACTATTTTGTTTTTGCAATAATGAAAAGAAAATAATGGAAGGACTCTACTGACGAGCAAACTGATGAATTGATAAATTGACTATTGGCAGAATTATGACAAAAAATAGAACTCTACTTACGAGCAAATTGATAAGAGACCTACAGAATAAAAATGGGACTCTACTGACGAGCAAATTAGTGAACAATCTAAAAGATACAAAGTGGTCTTTACTAAAGATTCTACTGACGAGCAAAACTGGACATTAATTAAAAAAAAGGACTCTACTGACGAGCAAACCGATAAATTGATAAACTTACTAGCAATTTCGACAAAAAATAGGACTCTACTGACGAGCAAATTAATAAATAACCTAGAAGATTAAATTAAGACTCTGAAATTTGACAATGATAAAAGGACTCTACTGACGAACAAATTAAGACTTTAAAAATTTTAAATAAAAGCCTGTATAAGTGAAAGTGTCGCACAGAAATATTTGCAAATGCGTTTAGACTGTGACTATGCGGGAGCACTTTTTCAATTTTGTGCAAATTTTAGGCAACTATTTTTTTTTTTAAATTGAATTCGAAATGAAATGACGATTGACAAATGTTCTGGAGATAAATTGATTTATGATTTATGATTTACATTTGATTTGCTCAGATATAACAATTAAGATAGCAAAAATAATGAAAGTTACAGTATTTGTAATGATAACATATTTGAAAACGTTTAAAATTTGTCGAATTTTTAATTACGGTGCGTGAAGTTCCAGCAATTTGCATTAGGGCACGATGCCATGCACCACTAATTTTCTTAGCTATAAACCTTGCGGGGCCCGAGACCTTTCCAACGAATGCAAATATTGTCTAAATGATTCGTGCGTTCTGGAGTTATTTCGTCAGGAAGGAAAACCCGACTTATTTATATATATATATATATATATATATATATATATATATATATATGTAGATTATTATTATTATTATTATTTTTATTTTTATTTCTATTACCAAGTATGGTTGGTGATGCCCTCTTGCACATTCCCAGGGACGTGCAGACTTGACAACAATTGAAAGTTAATAAAATAATGGTGAAGAAAAATGCAAGGCACATGGAAATGGTGATGGGGATATTGGGCCTGTTTTCCCAGTGTTTTTGCACCATTTTGGAGAATCTCTGAATTCTGGTTTCGGGTGGAGTCGTCCTGACTTGTATTTCTTGGATGACGTCTTCGAAGAAATTTGCATCTGCAAAGGTAAGATAATTGTAATTTGAAAATTGTTGTAACTAGTGGTGAATGGCACCGTACCTTAAGGTCAAAAACTAGATTATCTAAAAAAAACTTTGAAAAAATTAGATTTTGGATAAAAAATTATGACATCTTTTTTTATTTACCATAAAATATTTTTGTAATTTTGGATTGAAAATTCAAAAAAATCAAAAAATTACCCAGGCTAAGCACAGTCTAAGCGCCACTCTGGTGCAAATGTTTACCCAAGTGCGTTTAGACTGTGACTACATGGGTGCACTTTTTCAATTTTGTGTAATTTTTTTTTTTTTTTTAAATTGAATTCGAAATAAAATGATGATTGACAAATGTTCTGGAGATAAATTGATTGATTTATGATTTACATTTGAATTCAACTTCTTAGGTTGGCGATGTATGAATTAGTAAAATAGAATTTTATTTTTAAAGTAAAACTTCTTAAGTCGCGATGTGATATAGAGTCTGTTTTGATTAAACGTAAAAGAGAAAACAGTATATAGTGAGAAAATGAGAGAGAGAGATATATAAAACACTAGTGCGAAAAAGAGAGACATATACCTTACATTGTAGAGTGACAGAGTAAGATATATGGGTATGATGTAACCTCCAAAATTAAGCAACTACCTTTTTAAATGTAATTTTTTGATAAAAGGGCAAAAGATACCAATTTTTGTTGTTAATAAAAGTTGTAGATAATTTAATTGGCTATAAATTTGCTGAACATTGCAAAACGGTGGGACATTTCGTTTTGAAGTTATAAATGAATAAATAAAAATCGAGCTGGTCCAAAAGTGTGAGGCAAGATATACTGATGCAACCTCCAAAATTTAACAGCAACTTGTTTCATTGCAAATTTTAAGTGAAAGGATAAGAGATACAACATTTTGTTATTAACAAAAGTTGTAGATAATTTAATTGGCTATATATTTGCTGGATATTGCAAAACAATCGGACAATTTGTTTAGAAGTTATAAACAAATAAAAATCGAACCGGTCCAAAAGTATAAAACGAGATATATTAAAATGTAGCCTCCTCAATTTAACAACAATCATTTTAGTTCTTATAAATGCCGCCAAGCTGAGCACAGTATAAGTGAAAATGTCGCACAGAATCATTTGCAAATGCGTTTAGACTGTGATTGTACGGGAGTACTTTTTCAATTTCGTACAAATTAGGCAACTTTTTTTTTAAATTGAATTCGAAATGAAATGACGATTGTTAATGTTCTGGGGATAAATTGATTTATGATTTACATTTGATTTGCTCAGATATAACAAGACATAGCTGGGCATTAACTCGTTAATCCGTTAATCGTTAATTAACGAAGTTAACATTTTGATTAACGGATTAACTTTTAAGTTAACTTTTGAAAATGTTAACGGACACGTTAACTTCCGTTAAAATGCCAGAAGTCCGTTAATCGTTAATCCAATGCCCAGGACCGTGCCTGGCCAGCGTGCAGTGCGTGTACCGCCAAATGAAAAAAAGAACAAATTCAAAGACGGCCATTACAAAAAATGGTCGAAATAAATAGCTGTTGCATTAAAAGTCTACTGAATTAAAAGGCGGCCAAATTAAAAGACTGTTGGATTAAGAGGCGGCCAAGCTCAAAGTCCGCTGAACTCATTCGCTGCCGTAAAGTCCGCTGTATATATCTAAAAGACCAAAATTACCGTAGTAAAAATCAGCCAAAGGCGGCCCTATTGAATGCGACTCTGTTTCTAAATAATTTATAAGTTATAAACTTGGTGTAAGTGGCAACTTTGCCTAAATCAAGTTGCATGAAGTATCCAACATGTGTTAATAATCGACTTAACAATGAAAATATATTAATTCATGAGTACATTGCAATGTGAAAAACTATCGCAGATTATTCAATTTTGTACAAATTTTTTAAAAATATTAGTTATGTTTTATAAATAGTTTAAAAATTACATATTATTGAACAAGAAACAAACTGTAGTAAATTAAAAACAAGATCCAAATTTCCAAAGCAATTTGTTAATCAATAACTGAAAAACGACTCGTCGATTATTGACAAAATTTAATCAACAAGATTCTCAAATGGAAAACGTTTGTAATGGTTTTTGAATTTTTAAAATTAATTCACTAATCAAAAATTTGAGACTTTTTTGAAAATTCTAAAGGCAAACTAAGCAGCACGAGTGCTTATCGAATTTACGAATTTTGACGATTTTTCAAATGGGATTGTGCATTTTGAGAAAAGGTCGACTAAAGATGAAATTTTGACTCACGTAAAAAAGCGCCGCTCATTTTTGCAATCTTTGATAGTACATATTTTAAAAATTAAAATGACTTAATGTGGGTCGAAATATTTAGTTATCTTAGAGACCATGATCACTATCGCCAAAAAAGTTTTATGAATATCATCGTAAAGCAATATTCACCAATTAAACACGAAGAAACGAACCGACCGATCTCTTAGAACTAATCAGCACGATTCCTAAATGATATCTTTCAAACAGTTCCTGAATTTTTAAAATCGATGCAGAATTTTTGGCTAAAACGTGTACAATAAATTTTATATTTTTCTGTTGATTAGAAACAGCTTGGCCGATCGTCGCACAAAACTGACAGGCGCTAGTCATTATCTAGTTACATCAAATGACTTTTAAACTTTTGAATTGGATTTAACCGTTTTTGAGAAAACGTTGCCGAAAATTCAAAAATCGGCTTTCAAACGATTCAGAATGACTTAAAATGTCGAGAAAACTTGAAAATTACAAGACGATTTTTTTCGTGAGAACATATTGGATATTTTCCTATTATGATATTTTTAAGGGCGGCCATTTATATGCTCGCACGCAGGCGGCCAAATACCCAGGCACGGCCCTGCCAATGCCTACTATTTACCGCACGGCACAGCTTTAGCCAATGCCTTATTAAATGACATAGAGAAAAGATTTGGACCACTCGTGAATGATGAACAGTGCCAACATGTTCAAAAGACTTGTTCAACGATTCATAAATCAATTTATTAAATACAATACTGCTATACCCTCAAGCGCTGCAATTGAACGTTTGTTTTCCACGGGTAAAGACATTTTTACACCAAAACGAGCCTCGCTTTCAGACGAGAACTTCAACATGTTAATGTTCATGAAGAGAAATATGCACCTAACACCCGACGCTTAACCCGTCGCGCGTTATTTTTGGCAAAAAAACTCTTTCCCTTTATTTAGAAAAAAATTCTTGTAAAAACAATATGCAATCATAAAAACAGAAAGTTGACCAATAGCGTTATTATCACGGTGTGTGCATAAAGCGCGTCGCGCCATTAAGGGGTTAAATTACACATTTGAATTATACAAGTATTTTGTTTTATTCATAACCTATTAACTTCCAGAACCTAAACCAATAAGTTTTTTAAGTTCACTAACGCAACGATATAAAAATGTAATTTTACACATATTAACGGATTAACGATTAACGTTAACTTGCGTTAATTATTCCGAAATGTAACGCTTTAACGTTTAACGAAGCTAACTTTTTTTGTAGCGGATTAACGATTAACGAAGTTAACTTTTTGATTAACGGTGCCCAGCTATGTAACAAGATAATGCAAAAATAAGGAAAGTTATAGTATTTGTAATAATATATTTGAGAACGTTTAAAATTTCTCGAATATTTCATTACGGTACGGGAAGTTCCAGCAATTTGTCTTAAGTCACGATGCCATACACCACTACTTCATTTATAAAACCGGAAGTTCCAGTAATTTGTCCTAAATTACATCGTGCCATTTACCACAAATCAACATTATCAGTTTTTTGTGGTTTCTGAAACCGAAACCTTGAATTAAATTTATCAGTAAATAAAAAACAAGATAAAAAAATTATATACATAGTTACTAGACATAATTTTTAAAAATAATTCCCCAGGCAGGAACAATTATATGTGGCATGGTTTGCAGTGGGTAAACTTTTCATAACATTTGTGTTATATAGACCGAAGTTTTTTAAAAATATTTTTTATGGCGCGATGACATCTGCCGGGCCAGCTAGTATATATATATATATATATATATATACTAGCTGACCCGGCAAACGTTGTTTTGCCATATAAATTATTTCCAGCATAAAGTGTTTAGTATAAAAATAACTAACTGATTGCAAATGTGGTGCAGATAACAAAAAATATATAAATAGTTTACCCACTGCAAAGCATGCAAGATATAAATGTCCCTTAATAATAGTCTTTGCAAGAGCCAACCAATAATCTAAAACTGATTCTATTTAAATTGAGTTGGCACATTTAATGTTTCAAGATTTTGGCATATTATTACCGTATTTTTTCATTATTTCATTAATTTTTAATTAATTACGATACAAAATCTGATAATTCATTTTTAAATTATATTGTTATGTGGCTTGCCCAACAAATTGACTGAAAAA